GTGGTGTGTTGTGTTTTTCGGGGCGGGAAGCTTAACTCATTTAGCCATCCCGGCCCCCCTAGGCGAATGTTCAGCCTAGCAGTCGCTGTAGCTGTTGCAACGTTGCCACAACGTTGCTGAGTCCGGACGTGCGACGATAGTGCGGCCTACGCCTAGTCGGTGGTACGTTGTGCTGACGCCATGGACGGGACTCCGATCGGGGTGCCGTTCTTCGGCGACGTGCCACACGATTGGTTTGCTGCGGTCGGTTTGCACCGCGGATTCGTGGGGCAGGCTGCCGATTGACCTCTCGCCTCGGAGTACGGTGAAGCAACGTGTGATGCTGCCTGCCACACATTTGGCACAAAGCACCGGAGTCGCATTCCTGCGTCGTGTGTGTATGCGCCAGACAATTGTTGCAATGCCCATGCGCCTGGGCAACCTGCTGGCGTTGTGTCGGCGACATGCCCTTGAAGAGCCCACAGTGCTGCAACTTGTGTGAACGGCAACAAAGGGGGCATCGGATGCGATGGGGCGCCTCTGGTGGAGACGGAACGGCTGCGGAGGCTCGAATACTAGTACGAGCGGTGGTTGACGGTGCAGTTGCGGCTGGTGTTCGGGGCGCCGCGGTTGGCATAATCCCAAGGCGAGGCACCGTGATGGCCGATCGCATTGTTGGCGTTGGGGTGGAATGCATCTCTGTATCCATATCTATCTGTATGGAGAAAAAGGCGTGTTTAGATACGATTCAGTGGTATAGAGTATGGATATATTTCTATATGTGACCAACTTTATTTGGTTTGGTGATCGTACTAGTCTACCCATTATTTTATTAGTATATGATGGTAATTTGTCATATTATATTTGCGGTTTTTTATTTAGACGGATATTTCGATTTTTTTTTTTGTAGGTATTATTGAACGGATGGTTTACTACATGCGTTTTCGCTATTATTTGAGATTGGCAGGAAGCATAGTTTAACGAGCGGTCTGGTTAGCGTTCCGTTTCGAGTACGGAGGTCAACTACTCGTATATGACCGTCGGAACCATGATGCAGCTTCTCTATGCAACCAAGTCGCCATTCTGTAGGGGGAAGACAATCGTCATGGATTAAGACAAAATCTCCAAGCTTTGGCGCCTTTTCGGGAGTTTTCCAGCGGTACCTTTTATGAAGGTCCTTTATATACTCCTCCTTCCATCGGCGGCTGAAATCATGATGGAGAATTTTAATTCTTTCCCATCTATTTTGTAAGGATAGCGACTCCACGCCTGGCTCAGGTATGGGTATCTTGTATGTGGATGCCTGTAGGTGTATCCAATCCTTTCCTGGGTTGTTCCTTGGGGTTTTTGCTTGGTTTTTGTTGAATTACTTTCGCGCCCGTTTGATATGTTAATATGTATATATACATATATATGGGTTTTAATTCGCGCCCGTTTTTATTTGATTGTATTTTGGTTTTCCGCGCCCGTTTTTTTTTTTTTTTTTTTTTTTTTTTTGTCACTGCACTGTTATATTATGCACCAAAAGCATATGTGTATATATATAAATTTTTTGTTGTTGTGGTCACTGCACTTTTTTTGCACCAAAGCATATATATATATATATATATATTTTTGCTGTTGTGGTCACTGCACTTTTTTTTTTTCTTCTGCCTTTTTTCAGTACACTTTGTTGTTGGCTTCTCCGTTTATATATACATATGTAAATCACTTTTAAGCACTTTTCATATATATATTTTATTTTTTATTTTAGTTGTTTGTCACCACCAATCACCACCAATGTTAACACCACCAATTTTTTAAGGTTTTCCACCCTTATTTTTACTAAAATTTTTTTTTTTTTCACTATAGTGCCATTCGGAATGGCTCGAAGGACCAATGTTAAGTTCACCACTTACTTGCCACTTTATAATTCCGCGTATGTAA